TATCCTGAAATATGACTGAGCAAGCATTCTTTCTCTCCCTCTCCCTCATCTGCTTGGTTTTTCTTTCTTGAGGAATGAAAGAGGGAGCAGGAGACAAAATCTAAGGCTAGAACGGAGTGGGAGAGCATACAGGAGTATCCCCACACGAGCAGTTCCCTAAAAAGGCACAGGAAACGATCAAAAAAATTAAATCACATCTTGGCAAGAATAGATAAGGGATCATGCCCATGTCAGCCTTAGCACTGGGTTTGAAGAAGAAAGACAGTCTCTGTTTTAAGTCTGATATTTAGCCATTCATCCCACACCACCTGTGTATCCTGGCGAACTGTAAACTGGATTCTAACAGCGAAGAAAAAGCTTGTCCTATTGCATCTTGTTATACCACATCAGCTATCAAGGAGGCTTGGTCTCATAGGCTAAGAAAGATAGCTCTCCCATTGAATAGGGTCTACTGTGAAAATTACTCTTTAGACCCCACCGAGCTTGGAACACATTATTAACACTTTCATCTGGGATCAACACAAATCCTTTAGGATACATCCACCCACTTTGCTCTAGTGCCCATCAGATTCATTATAAGCATTCCACTAATCCTTCAAAGATAGCACCCAACGCCATATTTGCATCACGATTGGTCCTTGTACATTTCAACCTATGCTCTAGAGGATGATGCTTCTTTAGCCCCATTCATGCAACAGTTTCTGGCTTGTGGCTGACCCAAATTACCTGCCCTTTTGAGCTTACTCTGAATATGCTGGTGTTCACATAATGGAATCCTTTTGTGCTAAAGTTCCTACCCTCTTAGCTGACTCTCTGTCCTGATCCAGTCATCAGGTGCTCAGTGATCCACTTGCCTGCTGACTTGCTGCCAGATCCATTCTCAATAGTGCCCAGACTTCCAAGAATTCTGCTGTGCCCTCCTGCTGGGCGTCCTGTGTATCCCATCCCATGGCTGGCTCTCACCTCGGTACCCAGGCCACTTGGAAGCTAAAGGAGCCTCAGAAACACGAATGAATCCTTTTCGTTTGACTATCATTCTTACCCTCTTGACTGTTTTGTCTTCAATTGATATAAGCCTGCCCCGTCCTTGGGAGTGAAGTGAAAACCCCTATCTAAGTCACTTTACTCTTCATATCTGCCCACAGAGAGGTTGAAGTACATGTGAAATCACCCACAGGTAACCCCAACCTTCCATTTCCCCATTTTCTTCTTTATTCTTCACAATCCCTTGGAACAGAAAGCTTTGGACTTCTGTGTTTATTCCTTCCTACCATGCCCTCCTCCAGCTTGTCACCAGGTTTGTGCCTGGATGTTAAAAAGAGGGTAGATGTTAAGATAGCCTCCAGTGTGTGTGTGTGTGTGTGCGTGTGTGTGTGTGTGTGTGCGTGTGTGTGTGTGTGTGTGCGTGTGTGTGTGTGTGTGTGCGTGTGTGTGTGTGTGTGTGCGTGTGTGTGTGTGTGTGTGCGTGTGTGTGTGTGTGTGTGCGTGTGTGTGTGTGTGTGTGCGTGTGTGTGTGTGTGTGTGCGTGTGTGTGTGTGTGTGTGCGTGTGTGTGTGTGTGTGTGCGTGTGTGTGTGTGTGTGTGCGTGTGTGTGTGTGTGTGTGCGTGTGTGTGTGTGTGTGTGCGTGTGTGTGTGTGTGTGTGCGTGTGTGTGTGTGTGTGTGCGTGTGTGTGTGTGTGTGTGCGTGTGTGTGTGTGTGTGTGCGTGTGTGTGTGTGTCTGTGTGTTGGGGGGGTGTTGTAAAATCTTGGACGTGTTACACTGTGCAATAAATACAGATGACCAATTTGCAGAGAATCTGGGTGTAAGGAAATGTGCTCAACTTTAAGGCTCTGTTGAAAATAATTTGATATTTTAAACTACAGAAAACTCCTTAAATGTATGACAATGCGCAGTTAATGAAATGCTTTCTCCAACATTCTCCTGATCATAAACATGACCTTGTGACTTAGATGTCATTATCATCTGTCATTCACAGATGAAGACACCAAGCCGCTGTGATCACTGCCCCAGATCACATGGCTGCTGGGTAGAAACCCAAGACTCAAGTCAGGTGTCCTGAGTCCTCATTCCGCCTTCATGACACAGTACCACACCGATCCCGTGACAAAGTTTGGTTGTTCCTGACTGTCAGTGTGTGACTAGAAGACTTTCGTGAAGAGATTGCCAGAGAAACCAGCTTTGCCTAGAGTCGTAGTCCTTCACATCCAGAATCTCCGTTCATCTGAAGGCAGTAACATTTTCAGTAACATTTTTAAAATGCAGTTCTTACCTGACTTCTTTTTTTGAATAATTTGCATCCAGTACAAACATTATTAGCTCTGTGTTCAGAGGCTGATAACTTGGTCATATTCCCTGTTGCTAATCTACTACATAGAAGAATATTGAAAGCAACGCCATCAACGTCGGTTTCTTAGACAATAGATAAGTGCTGTTTCTTTAACTTCCTATGAGTCACAGGTAGAGTACTGCGGACTGATGTCTACCGAGTGACCTGACAGGCATGAATGAGAGCCCAGTCGTCCCAGACAGCAAAGGGTCTGGTTTGTGGCTAGAAGGGTCAAGTTTATATCTGTGGAAGTGAACAAGGCCAATGGGATCGTCTTCATATGTTCAGGCTTTCTAAAATTTTTCTGTCTCTAACTAAACTGACTGATGTAACACACAAGACCTGTCGACAGAACATTCCAGGGCAGGAGAGTGGAAAACAAAAAAGAAAGTTCTGTTTTCCTCATGGCAGAGAGGGTTCCACAGAGGAGGTGGAAATAGTCCCTCAGCTGGGAAACAGGAGAGACTCCCAGGACAGGGGAGGGTCTGGAGAGAGGGCAGCTGATAGGCGGCGGTAACAGGAAGCTCTCAGGAACAGAGAAGATTCACTGTGTTCTTTGCCTTGAAGAAAAAAATCGTCTTTCCCAAAGACCTGTGTTTTACATATTATTTTATGATTCTGCATTTCTAAATTTAACAGTGTTTTATGTGGACTCTCCATATATTCATATAGCCTATTTTTAATTTCCTTGTACTAGGAGATACATAATTTGCTTAAAATTTTCTCTATTATTTAGCGATATGTGAATTGTTTCCAGTTATTGTATATTAGAATTCGTACAAGTAAAGCCATGTTTTGGGCTGACCCCTTAACCCAGAGGTTAAGTGCTGTGCAGACGGAATGGGATCCCACACAGCCAACTGCAGTTGGAATCCCAGCCCTGTGGCACCCCCAGGCACCCAGGATCCTGACGGGACGGAGAATTGGAGCAAAAAGGATTGCAGCATGGCCAGGCCTCTCTGTGGGGTGCTCGCTGTCTCTCTCTCTCTTTCTTCTAGTGCACACATATGCTCTCTGGTGAAAAAGATATTAAAACCATGGTTTTATAGAGTTTCTGTTTTTGAGTCCTGGTTCCAAAATTGGAATTACTGGGTCAGCAAATTATTTGTCCTTTGTGTTTTTTTTCATATTGCTAGGTTATTCTTTTAAAAAATTATATTAATGTACAGTGTCACCAGCTCCACCAAACAGTGAGTTTTGTGTTTTTTTAAATTTTGTTCTCCATTTATCAAATGAGGGATTAGCACATACTTGTTTTACTTTGCTAAACCAAACCTTATGCCAAATGTTGACTTGCGATTCATATTCCTTCCAATGGGATCTTTATTTGTATGGGCTGCCCCTTCCTAACCTAGGGATTGAAATTTCTCCAGCTTTATGCAGTTTTAAACTATGTTAAATAGTTTCATTTTCCAATTCATTTTATTGTTTTAATCTTATTTATTTATTCTTAGCCAATAAAAATATTAGGCTGGGGACCAGCAGATGGTGTAATGGTTATGTCGCTGACTTCCCACATAGTCGATCATGGTTCAAGTGTCCGACCCAGTGGCTTAAAACTCACACTGGCTGCATGTGCGTCCGTGCCCAAAATATCAAGAGGAGTTGGAGGAGAAGGGATTGCGGCATGGCCATTCCCCCTGAGGGATGATTTCTCACTTTCTGTCTCTCTTTGTCTCTCCAGCAAGTGCACGCATCCTGTAGCATAAAATCTTAAAAAATAAATAAATAAAAGTAACCTGTGTTCCACACAGGTTATAAATAAGAAGTGTATTAATAAGAAGTGTCATAAATAAGCAGTGTATTTTCCCCATAGTTGTGTGTATCCTATAAAGGAGTCAGGCTTGTGCGTCACAGCAGCGAGACAGTTCTGCCCCAGGGGATGGATCAAGATCTGGAAGCAAATCAGTTGGGGATGGCAGAGCGCCTCGCTGTCACGCTGAGGCTGGGAGTGTAGTAGAGATGCTCAGGTTGATCATGGAAAAATGGTAATCCATGATAAATTTGTCAAGTCATATCAAGAAATGGACTAGAAATCAAAGCTAGGCAAGTATGGAATAAAAATACACGTTTGTGGCTTGCCTGGACTATACCAGCATCCTGCCCTCGTCTTAAAGGAACAACAAGAGGATGGGTTCCCTGCCACACCTGCCACTGGCTGCTGGGTCCCTGTTTCTCAACTGGTGGTAGAACCATCAAAGATAAATGAAAATTGCTTACAGTGAATGCACATTGAAAACGGGAGCTCCTATCAGTTCTTCCACTATTCCTGTTTTAAAAGTGGAGCTGTTTATTATGTAGCTCAATATTGTGTGTGTGTGTGTAAAAAATATACTCTTTCATAAACTTACTTTTTGACTACGAAAAAAATCTGTTGACTGGGACCGGCAGGTGCCATGGTGGTTAAGGTCGACCATGGTTTGAGTCTCAGACCTGGTGGCTTACTTTCTCACTTTCCTTCTCTCTTTGTGTGTGTGTGTGTGTGTGTGTGTGTGTGTGTGTGTCTTTGATCAAATTAAAAATTAATTAATTTAAATAAATAATTATTTTTTAAAAATCTGTTGGTTTATCTATTCCCAGAAATTGAAATAGCTCTTTTCATATTTCTAATCTTTCTTTAATGTGTTTTTTTCCATGTTCAATATAATTCACTGAAATATTTTCTTTCTAGTCTCCAGAGAACACAGAGGGCAAAGATGGATCCAAAGTAACTAAACAGGAGGTAAGTATAGCTTTGAAGTCTTACAGTATTTAAATGGAAATTTTTAATATTGTTCTGTTTGTCTGCATGACTTGTAAACACGGTTGTTGAGACTACCTAAACCAGAGATAGGTGTCTGTGGACAGCCTGGCTTGGCCTCTGTGTGTTTCCGTTGGCTGCATTGATGAGGCTTTTTCCACTTACTGTGTTGTTGATGTTTCTATCTGTCGGTCCTGCTGTCTATTAAAGCAGATACTGAAAATTCCTTCTGGGCAAAGAGCGAGATAATAGGTAAATTCATCAAGAAAAACAAAGTCTGCCTCTCACAGCAAGAAAATGAAAGGTTGTTGATTTCATAAATTCTCTGCTCCAGGAAGTGAATCATAAATTACTTTTTAGGTTTTGAATATACTTCTAAAAGGAGTCATCTCTAAAGTCAAAACCGATGAAAGGATACGCAATATGTCAAAATATTAAAGCTTTCTTTTTTTTTTAATAGTGAAACGCTTAGGGTATTGAGATAACCAATTAGGCTGATTTAAAGATGGTCTGTATTAAAATACAGGAACTCCCAAAGAGTTAGGAGCTTGGAAGAGATGCTCGATTTGATCCTTTGTGTAATATGAACGTCAAAAAGGAGATGGACTAAAAAATAGGAAATGAGATGTAACTGTGATGACAGCCATTCCTTTCTGCACAGAGCTTTACAGGGTGTGGAAAACTGCAGCTCTGCCCTTGAATTTATAAACCGAAAAGGGTCATAAGAAAGGCAAAAACAATATCTAGTCACAGATTTTCTGATTGGGTGGTTCCTGTTGAGGTACATAATTCAGAAGAGTTTGTCAGAATACCACAACCTCTCCATGAGACTTGTACAAAGAAATTCATTCCACCAAGTGGAAAATCTTTAAGACTCTAGAAAGAAATCATTTAAAAGCAAAACAAACAAAACTGCACGTACCTACTGCTCCCTGTTTTACAGAATTTGGGATAATTATGAAGTTTGTGATACGAAGTCAAGTCACCATGTAAATGTAAGAAACAACTAAAGAATAATAAATACTATAACCAACCAAAAACTAATTGCTTGAATTTTCTTGGAAAATGGAAAGGTATCATTTTTTAATGTAGTTTATTTTTCTTTTAGAATTATTTTTATTTAACTTTATTATTATTATTTTTCCAATTTGATCAGAGAGAGACAGAAAGAGAGGGAAAGTGATAAAAGAAATCACCAGGTTTGAGACTTGAACCATGGTCGGCCGTGTGGGAGTCCAGTGCCCTTAACCACCACACCACCTGCCAGCCCCAAAAAAGTATCATTTTCAGGCCATTTGCTAAGTGTAACTAGCATTAATGTTTTTAAATTTGGGCACCAAAAAAAGCATTTCAGTTTTTCCTCAGGGGATGGCATTTAAATTGACTTGTCAATAATCCAGAAAATCTGATTTGTCAGTAAGAAATGTGGAGATCATTGCACATAGTTGACATTGGACAGGGAAAACAGTCTTCCCAATTCCTCTACACCAAAGCAAATCAAACTAGTTAGAATATATGAAAAAAAAAAAAAAACCAGAAACCAAAAAACAAAACCTGAAAAAAAAAACCTGCATGTTTTTGCTTATAGAACTACCTTCTGTGTATTATTTTAGTCCAAAGATTTTTATTTATTTATGTTTTATTTTATTTTATGCTTTATTTTATATTATGTATTTTATATATGTTGATACTATTATTAACAAAAGTCTTTTCTAGATATGACGTATTGCCTATCATTTAAGCCCTAGCTGAATTAAAGCTTACAAGTCTTCAACACATCAGCATAGTTACATGAAAAGTGGAAAGATTAGTCAGCTGGAGGATGAGAGTAAAATCTGTCAGGCCATATATTGATTGATTTTTTTTTTCACTGAATTGACTGAATTTTCCAGTTATGTCATTGAATATGCAAAGCCTTGAGCATAGTGAATGGAGAGCAATTACAAAGGGGATCCTCTTTTGAAAAATGCTCCACTACTCTTGTGATCTTTGACAGGCATTGTGCAGAGCATGGTACTTCAGGAGATTTGGACAGTAAGTGATTGAAATAATATTATGATCATGACACTCAGCAGTTTACAAAGCCCTTTCACATCTATTACTTTGATCTGTACAATAACTTTAAAATGAGAGGAGGGTAGATTTATTCCTTGACAAAAATGTGCAAGCTCTGTAGTAGGCTCTGCAGAGTCCAAAGTGAACAAAAGAAGCACAAATCTCTCTGCCTTAATGGAGCTTCCATTTTAGTGGAGAAAACAGAAAGTAAAATAAAGTTTTATGTTTGCCATGAAGAAAATAAAGCAATGGGAATAGTGAATGTCAGGAGAAGTGCTCCCCTCGCCCGTGTTTTTTTTTTGTTTGTTTCTTCCAAGAGCAAGAGAGAGAGATGGTGTCCCCAACAGGGTTTTGACCCCACAATCCACCCCCAGCTCGGCCAGCCCCAGATCATGGGCACTCCGATGCCTGGAGTACTCAGGGAAGTCTCTGGACACAAACCTGGAACCTTTCTAGGAGGTCTGCTTTGCAGAACATTGCATTCTGCTGCTATGCCACCATCTGACTCCAAGAAGTGTTATTTTTTATGCATTTATTTAATAAGGAAGTACTATTTCATCCCTATTTTAACCGGAACAAATGAAGTTTTCAGAGAAATACATGGTTTTCCCTGAGTGACCCGACTTGGAAGGAGCAAATATGCAACTGCCTTTTCTGAGATTCCATTTTAGTAGGGCGGAGGGAGAGTAAAATAACATTCTGTATTTGCTATGAAGAAAAATAAAAGCAAAGTGTCAGATATCAAGGAGAGACTTCTGAATCTCCAGTTCCGAATGCTCTGCCCTAGGCCCCTTTTGTGACAGTCATAAACATCTGGTAATACAGTGCCCTTTTTTCCTGCGTTCTCCCTTTCCCTGCCAAGCCTGTCAGGTACATCTCCTACTTCCTAGTCTTGAAAAAAAAAGCATTTTCTATTGACATTTAAGTTCTCATTTTTTAAAATAATTATTTAACTTTATTTATTTATTTGTTTGTTTGTTTTAATCTGACCAGAGAAGGACAGAGTGAGAGAGAGAGAAGGAAAGTAAGAAAGCAAGCCACCAGGTCCAGGACTCGAACCACAGTTGGCCATGTGGGAGTCCAGCGCCCATAACCACCACACCACCTGCTAGCCCCACTTCTCATTTGTTTTTGAGAATTAAAAGCAACTTGACTTTTGAGGTTTTACACAGAAGTACACAGTCAGGTACAGTAACAAAGAGACATCTCAAAAATACTTGCAAATTCCGGTGAAATGGTCCATATTTTTCAAGCAGTATTCAGCAGAGTCCAGTAGTTGTGCTCGAATCTAGCTATCTCTGTGAGCCTATGGTTGTAAGATGAGTCTTCTGTGTTGCTTTTGCAACCAAGACATTAAGCTAGAAGACTCCTTGTGTCTCAGAGTAGCCTTCACCAGAATTTTCTTCCACCAACACATCTGCACCAGTGACAAACCCTCACAGCCTGTCACTCTTGTGGTGACTTGTCATTTTAAAAATCCCCGCCTCGGAGCCATTTTTGACCATTTTTCCTGAGGAATCATACTTTGCAACAATCAAGAGAAATTCTTACTATATATTTTTTATTTCTGTAATGGTCCTACCCAACAACCTGAGCCTCAAATGAGCACTTCAAATGCTAGCGTTTTAAATGGAAAAAAAAAAAATAGCAGACTGGTGTATTTCATATCCAATAAATAAAGTCCAATCATTTATAGATTTCAAGGCTGCGAAAGCTGTTGGAACTTTCCAGGAAGGCATCCACACTTGCATGCATAATCAGCACTTCTGACTGTGAGTGAAAGGTTCTGTCTCAGCCATCACTGTTTGCAGTGAGAACAAAAATCTGTTATCATGGTTACTGGAAAGGAACATTTAAGAGAAGTCTCTTTTTTTTAACAGCATAGAAGGAAGAGCTGGTAAATTTGAGGTAGGATGTCATAAAGTAACTTCACAGTAAAAGATATGGATTTGAGAGACTTGTGAGGTTAGATTACCCAGAGAGGCAATCTTTTTTTTTTTCTTTTTTTTTCTTTTTTTTTTTGCATTAATTTCCTTAGCTTTTCATTTCGGAACTCTTGGACCGGACCTGAATGATAAAAAGGTAGTAAGTCCTTCGGATCAGAATGGCTTTCAGGCCCTGTGGAGCAGTGCTTGGATCGGAATGCCTCTCAGGAAATCCCAGAGGGCTCTCTGACAGCACTTGCCCTGCTTGGTCTGTTTAGGTGTCACATGGAGAGGAGAGGAGCAAGAACGTTGCAGTGGGGGATTTTCCACATGAGATTGCCTCACTTCAGTGAGATTTACTCGGGATGAGTTAGCGGATAGAGGCAGCTACGAGTAGTGACTAGCATACCTGGCTCTTTTCCGACCCCAAACTAGAGAGTAACTAAGCAATGACCCTGAGACCCCAAGCCCCAAGTTCATCTTCACTGTGTGCGTCTGGTGCTTACCTTTCATTTACCTAGACGTTTACCAAGTATACCAGAGGTTGTCTTGTGTGGTAGAGGGTAGGAACAGGAGACAAGAGAAGGCCCAAAGGCATGTAAACGGACACCACGCAGGGAGGGACTCAGACACGGCCTATCGCCTCTCTTGAGCATGAAGGCTGCCATTTTGTCTGTCAGAGGGTATTGATTGCCTGCTGTACTATACGTGTGAGATGGTGCAGATGGTTCTGAGGGCCACACCGAAGCTTCAAAGCTGAGCCCTGGTAACAAGCAGGCACTCCTTTACTCCTCAACTCTCGGAAGGCATGCTGAGGGAGCACGACCTGCTTGCTGCCAGTTTGATTGGTGTTCTTCATTGATACCTAATTAATGCTGTTAACTACACTGGGAAAGGGAATGCAGGGTTTGGATTTTGATTGCCAGGGACTTACGGGCGCATCGTCAAGAACGCACTGTGATAGTCATAGGAGGTGCCAGTGCATTTCCTAGGGGGAGTCTAATGCATGCCTCCCTCCCCTGATCTCCAGGTGGACTGAGCTGTGTCAGGGCCGTCCATCCCCTCACTCGGTGGTGAATGTGTCCCTGCCAGCCACTTAGCCTGCACGGCCCCCTATTCTCAGCACACTCTGCCCACTGGCCCTGAGTCCAGCTCTCATCTTTCCTTAAGACCCCAGGGTTAAAATTATTCATGGAAGCTCTGGCCCTTCATTTCCTTCTTAGTTTAAAGAAAGATGAGTTTAGCTTTTCTGGCTATTTTCAGCAAGAAAATTCTTAGATGTGGAGATGGCAAGAAATATTTCTTCCAGTTTGGCCTGACCAGCTGACCTCGACTGACCCAAGCTCAGCTTCAAGAATTCCATGATCCCTCACAATTATGGCCCGGTTCCTGCTTTTGCTGACCCCCTTAAGAAAAATTATTTGAAATGTATAAGCGATTGTAATGAGGCAAAGTCTTTGTAAAGCAGAAAGAATTAGGAGAAATCTTGAACTCACATATTCAGCAGATATGCTTGAGTACATAATATGTGTTCGGTAGAATACTATTCTACTGGAGCTGGAGCAGCGAATTTCCAGAACACTTTTAAAGAAAGGCAGTTGTGGGACCAGCAGTTAGCGTAATGGCTATGTTGCTGGACTCCCACGTAGTCTACTGCAGTTCGCGTCCCGGACCTGGTGGCTTAAAACTCACGCTGGGCGCATGTGCGTGCGTGCCCAAGATCCCGAGAGGAGTATGGAGGAGAAGGGATTGCGGCGTGACCATCCCCCCTGGGGGTGATTTCTTGCTTTCTCTCTCTCTGTCTCTATCTGTCTTTCTGGCAGGCGCACATGCCCTATAGCAAAAACCTCTCCAAAAAAAAAAGAAAAAAAGAAAGAAAGGCAGTTGTACTCTTAGAATGTGAAATCCCTGTGGAGCTGCATATGCGCGATGAAAAGTTGGTATTAATTCTGCGCACTATTGCTGAAGTGCCCGGGACCGTTTTCACTGCTTTAAATTTTCTTTGTAGTTTGATTTGCTGATCATTTGTAACATCCTTGAAGAAGAAAAGATTTTCTGAAAAACGTGAATCTCTCCACAGTTCCTTCCTAAAGTTCTAAATTTCAGAATTAAAAGATTAGTGAACTTTTTACTCTACTTAAATCTTTGCACGTTATGCTTTTAGTAGGTAAATAACGTGATTTATCTTGTTCCAGGTAAAAAGATAACTGTTTAGGGTTTGTAGCCATTCTCTTCCGGCATAGCAGCAAGATGGGGAACTCCTGCTATGTTGAGTCCTACACAATTATATAAGTCTCTTCTTGTACTAACTTGTAGGCTGCAGTTCCATTTTTAAGGAACAACAGTGATACTGGAGACTAGCCCTTAAATAGTACCTCGATGTTCTTGCTGTCGATTTGATCACAAAAATAGAAGTTTGGGATGGAGCCTAAATTCATCTCCCTTCCCTTTTCCTACTCACCACACCCTTAATTGGGAGAGGCCATTTTTAACCAGTGTGTGTACACCTCTTTAGAAACGCTTCCTCTTGAGTATTATACTGGCCAGAGGACTTGGGGTCCATTACACTGTGCTTCCTTGGATAGGGGGCTGGGAGTCATACATTATGTTCAATCAAGCTGGTTGTGTATAATCACCAAAAACCTCTTTTCTCATTCCCTTGTAGCCTACCAGACGATCTGCCAGATTGTCAGCGGTGAGTACCTTAGAAACTCTTTGGTATTAACTCTTGAGAGTCTGCATTTCCTTTATCCAAAACAAAACAGCAAAAGGAAGATTGCAGTGGTGTTTCCCCTGAGGTTATTTTCTTTTTGAAAATTACCGAGGGTCATAGTTTCTAGCAAATTTGACTAGTGTTGCCAAGCAATCGACTTGATCAGATGTATCCGTGAAAAACAATGGTCAGCCCCATTACCAAAGACATAAAGCCAAGATATTATTTGGTATTGCTAAATTCTTAAAAACAAAAACAAAACAAACCATGTTAAGCAAAGTCCTAGCCTTCAGAGTCTACATATATCATGCTGAAGCGGACAGACTTCTGATGCTCTGAAGTCCACAGCTCACACTTTACACCATTGCTCAGTCCGGTGTCAGAATGTCTTGGAAGTTGCCTGAATTCATATGCTTGACCCTAATTTCAGAAGTAGAGCATCCTTGAAGACATGATAATTCTGCTTTGCCACTTCGAGTCTCCTTCTGCACACCATGCCCAGGGAGGAGATGAGTGTTGGCATTACAGCTGGGATAGGCGGGTGTGGCCAGTCCTCAGACACAAATGTTCTCTGGCACTTCCTCCTCAGTCTGTTCCTTGTTGGCT